AACATCAATAATAATAACAGTTATCCACAACGACACACCGGGCGATCTAGGTATTTGTTTGCATTTACTGAGAATATAAATTTTTTGCATGCCTCACATGTTCAAACGTTGAAATACTGTTGGAAGAAATTTCGTACACTATCATATGGTGCCGAACTCATCCTTGTACTGTAAGTAAAGTGATAAACAAAGGTTTCTTGAACTGCCTGGCGTCGAGACGGAGGTGGCGGAAATTGAAGCAGCCGAAGGGGCGACAACTGCAGGCGAAGGCGTTGTGGCGGAGGCGGCGGAACAGCAGCCGGGAGCGGATCAGATGGCGATCCGTGTTCTAGAACTGTAAGTTTTCTATGCTGTTAGTGAGCAAAAAACTTTGGTGGGAGGGAGGGACTTTAGTTGGCCCTGTCCGCGGGGCATCATCGACCTCAGGAAAGGACGAATAATTTGACGGCGAGTGAGCATGAGAAGTGCGTGTAGGTAAAAAAACAGGAGGGCAAGAAGAATACATGGCTCAAAGACGTGTTAGGCATAGAATGCTTGGACCGCGCAGTCATGCGGAGGCTCAGTCTGGCGGCCGACTTATAGGATTCCGATGCGGCAGCGAGAAAAAACTTTTGAAGAGCAGCTATACGGGTTATGCGGGTGTACTGAACGGTCCACTACACGGTATAAGGATGATCGAGGCGCTTCTAGATTTACCCTCTTTCAATAATCCTGACGTCTCGAAAATACCAAGAAGCGAACTGTATGATATTGCAGGCGCTCGCGGGCCATCAACATTCCGGTGCCCGCCGTGGAGGAAGCAGAGCGCAACGACGAGCTCCTGGCTTTCAGCCTCCTGAATCTGGTATTTCTACCGCGCCATTTTCGGGGGACGCTGCGCGGACCAGGATCGGACCCGTACCGAATCCTGGTCGTCGGCTACGGGCAGTGTCAAATTGGTACGTTTGCTGATAACTCTAATGAACATTTTAATAGAATCTCTCATATGTTAGAGATGACTAGGAAGCAAGGGTGTACCTGCATGATGATCAGCATGTTGTCTCTTCAGAATGCCGCCTACCAGGATGCGGCCACCGAAGGTTCAGCACGATGAAGGGATGGAAGATCCACGTAACGATGGCAAAGGCTCACCATCAGAATGGTAAGCAATATAGTAACTTTCCACGTACACTAACAGTTTTAATTTAATTCTTCACTAGCAAGGTGATCAGGGCCTTCCAAACAAAGATGCTACAATTCGGACCAATTTGTTGTGCTCCCTCTTTACTCTGCACAGCTGATACAGTTTCCTCTGCTAAATGAAATTCTTCGATGTACACCCTTTCTAAACAGCTGTTCTTTGCACAGGATTCTGCCATTCATGCACGCACTGTGTCACAGTGCCTGACGGTGCGACAGTGGAGCAGGCGAAACTGGCCCTGCGCATCCACCGCCGCGACTGGTTCCCAATGGCACCACAGAAGATAATAAAGGAGCGCAGGGCCAAACTGAACGAGCTACGGCTTCTGGGAAGGACGGAGGAAGCCACGACGGTATTCGTGCCCGGTAAGATTCTTACCAGCAAAGATTTG